GGGCCCTGCGCAGCAGCGTGCGCCGCCCCAGCGAGCACTGCACCGAGGCGTCGCGGCGCGGGTTCACCTGCACCGCCACGTCCCGGCTGCCGGCCCTGTGGGGCCGCGGGCCCAGGCCCGGGCTCACCTGCGACAGGAGGGCCATGAGCTGCGCCCGCTGGTAGCTGTCAAAGTACTCGGCGGCCGTCAGCGGCCCGCAGCCCGGGAAAGAGGACGCGGCCGCCCCGGCAGAGGAGGACGACAAGGAGGACGACGCGGGAGCGTAGCCCCCGCCCCGGTGCCGCCAGCCGCCCCCGCCCGCCGCGCCCTTGCTCTTGGCGGCCGGCGGGTAGGGGTACGGGTACGAGTAGGGGATGCACGCCGGGTACATGTAACCGTCCAGCACCTCATCCCCCAGGGCAGCCATAAGCGCAGCCCGGGCCGCTCCCGAAGCCGCCCTGCCCTAAATAGGCAGCCCTGCGGAGGCAGCGGGCCGCCGACTCCCCCCCCGCCACGCCGCTCCCCTCGCTGCGCGGCCCCCCGCACCCTGCCCGTCGCCGGCTCGCGTCCCGGAGTCCCCGCCTAGGCGGCCTGTCCCTGACCTTCTCGGTGGGGAAATTTTCCACACCCGGAGGTCGGCACAAACACCCTTCGGTGATGGGGAAAGACTGCTTTCTTTGTGCTGCAGGAACTGATTTGTGAGTGAGCCCGCCGGAGGTGAAGAGGATACCAGCAAAAGAGCGCAATCACCGGGATTAGCCGAGCCAGGTGGTCCCCGGGCCTTGATGATCCCAGGTGTCTGCGCCGCCCGGGAAGCTGAGGCGAAGCTGGGTGCCTCTGTCTGGCTAGTGAGCAAAAATGCACAGGTTTGGGGGAACTGCTTTGGGTCTGTTACCTATGATCTCAGATTCTAGTTTCATTATTTCAGAACTGCTCTGAAAAGTCCGCCCCTTGTACCCTTTCGGGAACTCCATAGGGAAAGCACTCGAAGGCATCCGTATCTAGGCTAATTGTTTTCTCCCCTGGAGCACGTCCTCCCCTCCCCTCCACCCCCCACCTCAAGCGAGTACCACGAGGTATTGATGTCTTTTGGGGTGGAGAGTACTAAAATTCTCCTAACCAAATTATCCCTCCAAAAGATAACTGATTGGCGATGTGTCGACATAAATGCAGAAACCAAATCAGTCCCCAACTGAGAAGAAAATGCCTTGTTCCCTGGAAGAATGTTAGTTGTCCATTATTAATCGATATCAGATACACATTAATGTACTTTTTGTGTTGACTTGATACAGGTTTGACAATAAAATACTGTATTTCATTGCTTAGTTGACCTGTTTTGGGATTTTTTTTTTTTTAATACAGCTCAAAATTCAACACTGTCTGGTATTCCTAAGTTGAGCAAGCACTTGGTTTTTTTACAATTACATTACACTCAATTATGCTTTACAAATTGCTTTCAAATTATGCTTTACCAAAAAAAAATAGCTTGTTTTTACTCATATAAGATAGTGCACCAGAATTCTACATTTCCAAGACCCTGTTTTCTAGGAGTTTACATATTTGAAACATAGAAATTGGTAATGGTAAAAACAAAAGAGCACATTTAACATGTTCTGGCTTTACTCTAGTAGTCCCAGGTGCAAGTTATATTATGACACTGATTTGTAATTTGGGAAAAGACTTGGTTAATACACCAATGCAACCTTACAATGGGAAGATCATAATTGTGACACGTATGATAATGTGAACCATTTGTTATCCTTTATGTAAACCATATTCACTACCACAGACCATAAAGATGAAGTAATATTTCAGCAAGATAGAAGCGCCTCTGTATCTTCACGTTCAGAGAGAAGTCTGAGTGGTTTCCATCATAATTAAATTATCAGCTTTCACTGTGCCATAGGAAGTGTCTGCCATTTCCTCTTCTTTTAGTTTCTTATAAGAAATATCTGTATCTTCATCTTCATCTAGAGGATCTCGCTTGTGTGATATTTTCCTTCCATACACTTTATATATTAAAACCAAAATCCCTGCTTCTGCAGACTGGAAAAGGGCATAAAGCAAGGGAAACATGTACATACTTCCGATGAATTGCGGTGGGAAGGCCAGTTTCAGAATGGCAGTACAGAGCTGCACATTCTGACTACCCGTTTCCAGGCATACGGTCCTCTTGCAGTTGGCTGGAAGATGGAAGAGAGTAGCTAAGCCGTAGCCTGAGGCATAGCCTGCCAAAGGCATAAAAATTGCTATCATGTAAACACTTGCAGGAATACTCAACAGCAGTTCAGGTCCTAACATAGTGCCAGTCATTATGAAAAGGACCACCAGCGTCACTAGCAGAGACCACAGGGAAACCTAGTAATAGAAAATGAACAGACAAACCATCAAAAATAGGATAGTTGATATGGAATTCAGGCAAGCGAATCCGAGGCTCTTGCAAGAAGAGACACATCTAGGCTCACCTCCCACACAGTGGAGACCTTTACCACAGCAGTCTTTGACAAAGTACTTCTGAGGATGGGTAGGTCCGCCTTCAGGATGAGTCCGGGTCCTTGTTGGACAGTTCTAATTGTTTGGAGGCCTGTCCTTACGACAAGTGACAATCTGCCTTCCCTAACAACTAGCCATTATCTTGGATAGACGCTCAGGAGCAGCATAGACCAGACTCCTGTTTGTTTGTTTAATTAACTTATTTATTTGACTCCTGTTTAAAAAACAGGAGCAGAAGGGCACCTGGGTGGCTCAGTTGGTTAGGTGTCTGCCTTTGGCTCAGGTCATGATCCAGGGTCCTGGGATCGAGTCCCGCATTGGGCTCCTTGCTCAGGGGGGAGGCCTGCTTCTCCCTCTGCCCCTCCCCCCTGCTCATCATTCCCTCTCTTGCTCTCTCTCGAATAAATAAAATCTTTAAAAAATAAATAAAAAGTAAAAAACAGGAGGGGAGGGGCGCCTGGTGGCTTAGTCGGTTGAGCATCGACTCTTGATTTTAGCTCAGGTCATGATCTCACGGATCAAGCTTGGCAATGGGCTCCTTAATGAGCATGGTGCCTGCTTGGGGTTCTCCCTCTCTCTCTGCCCACCCCCTCTTCTTCTCTTTCTCTCTCTCTCTAAAACAAAACAAAACAAAACAAAACAAAAGAAACAAACAAAAAACAGGAGGGGAAGGCTACTCTTCTTCAGGCAGATGTCTCCAGACTTTCATGTAACTCTGTGGTGGGAGTCCTGATGGTTCTGAACATGTGTTTAATTTGTGCGCGTACCTCTTAAAAACAGCAGTTAGAATTGAGCTCAACACACCAGGTCTGGTCTGATGAACAGAGTGGGCAAATGACCATTACCTTCCCTGACCAGGACCCCATGTTTTCCATAAGAAATTAGTTCTGGTTTTACACGTGATATAAAAAGCTATTAAAATTTATGAAACTTACATGTGATATTTTCAAACTTCAAAATACTTTGTATTTCAGAGAATTGATAGCAATATTGAAACAATTACCAACTCAGATTATGTAAGTGAAAAATGTAAACAGAAGAAGTGAGGAATTCTTTGTAATTCTGAACATCCCCTTTTCAATCTGTTCATGAGAAAACTCCCACCTGTAAATCTCTAATGATGCTAAAAATTCTTACATATAATAGATGGATTTTAAATATAGTACAACTGACTTTGTATAAGACACTGCACCGTCTTGATGTCTGACTGGTACATCTCACTCATTCAAGTAAGACAAGCTGTGAAAATAGTAAGGTGGAAACCTAAAAATTCCTCTCCTAGTTCTCCTTCAGATTAGTAGTTAGTTTTTGTTTTTGTTTTTTTTTAACAGGGGTGGGGGTTGGGAGGTGTCTGTGAAGGAAACCAGAGATCCAGAAGAACAGTTTAAGTGTTGCTTCTGGTTTGCTGGATATCTGGGGGAAACCCCTTTGGAGTCTGTGGGATTGGCATATACTTCATACTCTTTTAAAAATTATTTAAAATTTATCTGGGCTGGACAAAAAGTCTACGCTAGAGGGTGCTGAAATTATTATATAAAGTACTCAAGCTACAAAGGTACAACAGGCAGAAACGAAACTATTATAAATCAAAACTTTTTTTAAGTACTCTACACCCAATGTGGGGCTCGAACTCATGACCCAGATATTAAGAGTTGCAGGCTCTACTGACTGAGCCAGCCAGGCGCCCCTGAAGGTTTTCTTATATTAAGATGTGTGTCCACTGGGACGCCTGGGTGGCTCAGTCAGTTAGCGTCTGCCTTGGGCTCAGGTCATGATCCCAGGGTCCTGGGATCAAGTCCCGCATCGGGCTCCCTGCTCCGCGGGGAGCCTGCTTCTCGCTCTGCCTCTGTCTCTCTCTCTGTCTCTCATGAATAAATAAATAAAA